TACCTGAAGCGGTTTGCACCCAGTGGCGTAAGCACCCATCATATTCCAGAATTCTTCCAAAACAAATAGCTGAGCACAGTTACGAGGAATGCAACCGAGACTGCTTAAATGAATACTAAGGGGCATCTTACTCATCCTTCGCGATGATTTTTGCTTTCTGAAAGCCCTTCTCCTTTTATTACCTGCCTGATTTACATCTCCCTGGTGCTGCACAGCCTCCCGCCAGCTTGCTGGCTTTGAGTTAGGGGACTGGGGGAGGAGGATGGGTGGGGCGTTACCCTGCTCTTGCTCAACCCCCTGCCATGGGGAGGGTGGGCCCTGAGGCAGGCCTGCCACGCCCCGGGCCTTGAGGACAGGGCGGTGAGGCCTGGCGCTCTGTCAAGGTTGTGGCCGGTGGTGCCCCGGCACCAGCCTTTAGAGAGCAACTGCAGTATCTTCTAGAAGAGAATGTGCCTCGGTGCAGCTGTTCTGATTGGGAGTGGTCCTGTGCTGGAAACTAGAGCCATGAGGCCCTCCGGGGCCGGCCTTGTGCGTAAGCCTGTAGCTGGGGAAGCAGCGGCCAGCATCCGTCCAGGACCACATTTTCGCTGCAGAGGCGCTAAACCTGGCAGTGTCCGGCAATTGGCCTCTGAAGGCGAGCGGGCTTTATTTTGGCAGAAATTGGCTGCTTTTGCTTAAGATTGGCTTTTTGCTGGGCAATTCTCCTGGACAATAATCCTTTTGTTTGATCTGCACGGCGATTTAAAAAAAAAAATCTAAACAACTATTTATTGGGAAATTTCACGTGGCAATGTGGATTTTCAAACCCTCTCAGAAAACAATCATCCAGAGATCTGGCAGCATAGAAAGCTCTGGAAGCTGGGAAAATTGTCCTCCTGCAGGCAAGTGTAGCCTGGGCCTCTCTGCATTGTAAAAGCATGAGAGCAGGTGTCTTCCACCTGGCCCCCGCGGGCTGCTGGGCCTGGGACCTGCCGCTCAGTTCCGAAGCTCTCCTACACTTCCCTGCTTGGGTTCTGCTGCACCGAGCCCTCGGCCCTCACCCCCCTAGGCTGACTCCAGTCCTGAAGTCCATGAGGGCCTCGGTAGGGTGTCCCGGGAGAGTTTCTAGCTTTCCTGACAGGTGTGGGGAGCCTCTGGCCCACGGGTCCTGCACAGCCTGGGAAATCACGTGGTACATGACCATACAGACATGTTACTCCTCCTAGGATGCTTGCTGTGTTGCTGTGCACAGCTGATGCCTGTGTAGCCCACAAATGACGTCATACATGTCCAAATGCCCCGGCAGAGGAAGCGTCTCACCCCTGCTGAACCACAAAGATGAAACGCGTATCCCTCTCAGGTCCTCCCAGAGCTTTGGGAGTATTATAAAGGAACGCCTCCTGCTGTCCAGGCTATCCTGGTACCCCCCTGCCCATACTGAGGCCCTTTACAGACCTGGCCGTCAGTGTGGCCTGTCCTCCACTTCTATGCTGGGCGCGTGTGCGTGTGTGGGGCAGAAGGAAAGTAGAAGGGCAGTGGAGGTGGAACCAGGGTCCTCGGGACTTCCCAGAGTCTCACCACTCAGAATGACTGTGCAGGTAGACGCTGACACTGAAGAAAACAAGCCTGGTAACCCGGTAAAGCAGCCAAAGGACGTTTCTGTGTGAAGTGAGTGTTAGTGCCTCCGACACCTGCTAATCTGCTTCTCCAAACACCAGGACGAGCACAGGGCATGGTCTGCAAATGCTAGGGAGCTGGATGAACATTAGCACCTCCGTGTTCAGACTGCAGGAATCGGTAGACACTGACACTCAGCTGCATTTTAGCTGGGGCATCTGGTAAGCATTCCCCCCTCATTTATTGATAGACCTGAAAGCTGTTTTAAAAGACAAGCTTCTCAGTCATGTGAGGAGATGTTGGGCTGGGGGCTCGCTCCTCGGAGGGGTTCTATCATTTTCTTTACCTGCTGCATCTGCTGACTCCTCAGCTCAGGTGGCCAGACAGACTCCCCGAGATCACGAACACAAAGCATGCTGCGATGCTGGACTGAAACAGAGGTCTGCTCCAGACACTGGGACGCCCCAGGAAATAAGCAGAGTATTACGGCCATGGAAGCCTCTGCTTCCAAGAGCCCATGCTAGCTTCCGAAAGAGCTTTCATAGTGCTATTTTCATAATAAGGCCTAAGGGGGAAGTTTGGCTCCACAGAAGAAAAGATGCTGTCTGGAATGGCCCAGGTTCGACCTGTATCCCCGCAGCCTCCGGGTTTGCCTTTCCTCGCAAGAGGCCCTGCTAGCTTCACAGGTTTCCCCTCCCTCCCTCCCCGTTCTCTCCCCCTCCCTCCCTCCTTCCCTCCCTTTCTTCTTGCTTTCCTTCCCTCTCTCCCTTTCTCCTCCCTTCCTTCCTCCTCCCTCCCTCCCTTCCTTCTCTCCCTTTCTTCCTCCCTCCTTTCCTTTCTCTCCCTTCCTTCTTTCCTTCCCTCCCTCCTTACCTCTTTCCTTCCTTTCCTCCCTCCCTCCCTCATTTGTTCTTCCTTCCTCCCTCCCTTCCGTTACAGGCCCTGGATGAACTGTGTTCCCTGTCCTGTGGGGAGCTCAGGGTAACTCTACTCAGAGACGGAGCTTTATGGAAGCAACTGGGGGTAACAAGGTGAGGGAGCCCCTAATATCACAGGACTGGAGTCCTTCTTCACGAGGAACTTGACAGCTGCCGTTCTCGGAGAAACATGTTCTCCGTCAGGTCCGAGAGTGAACCAAGAGCAGGTAAAGGCCAGGCTTCCCAGACACCTCCACTGTTTTTATGTGGTCCTTTGTCCTGAGCCATTACTTCCTGCAGGCACTCTGCAGCTGTTCTGGCACCGAAGAGGCCCGGGCTGGGGGCAGAGTGTGTGGCGCCATGGGTAGAGGAGTTGTAATGTCACACGCAATATGGCGGCACAGTAGCCTGTGACTTCTAGACCTGCCCTCTGTCTGTCTCCTGTTGGAGGGAGACGCAGCAGGCTGCTTCGGCCTTTACCGCACCAGCCAGGGCTGCGCTCTGCCAGCTGATCAAAAGCTTCACCAGCACAGGCCGGGCTTTCCCAGCTGCGCCTTCGGATTACACCTCAGACTGGAGAGGAGCGTCTGGCAGACACACACACGGAGCACCTCAGTGCTTTCTGAAGTTCTCTGACCATCACAGCCCTGAGCTGCGGCGGGAATACCTCCGTGTGGCCGGCCGGCCGCTGGGAGGCCTGGCTCCCGAATGATCTGGCTGCCATGGATGACGTCAGTTCTGCGCCCCAACATTTTTCTTCTGACAAGGCAGTCCCCCTTCTAAGACATTCGTTACAGAAGCCGAGACCAGGCAAGGTGTGCCCAGGCCTCCCCACACCCCACCCACACGCGCTTGTGTCAAACCTACAGCAGAAACCAGTCTGCACGGGAGCCAGCACTAGAGTCAGCCACAGCACGGCCAAGATCTTCCCAGACCGCCGCAGGGAAACGGCACGCAACGTCTACCCCCTGCGCAAACACCCCGGGCTCGGAGGGCAGCTCCCGGACACCCCAGGACACACAGCTGCGGAACTGTTCAGAACTTGCAGCTCATCTCATGGTCCTCTCCTGGGCCGGCTTTCTGTTTCTGACTCCAAGAACTATTGACATACATAAATTCACTGTCTGTTAATTAACAGGTCCACATTCATTTGTGTAATCAGCACTAATCTCGTGGGTTAATTAGACTTCATGTGAATTTGATTCAGGAGATTTAATTTGGCCTCTGATCTGTCTTCCACCAAGGGACACTGGCACATGCACATGTTTCCTTCCTGCCATGTTTTCACAACATCGAAGACTCCAACGCTCAGACCCCAACTCCACTGCACCCCCAGATGTGCTCAAAGGCCTTTGTGGGCTCATGCTGGTGGCGGGTGCTGTTGTGAGCCATGAGCTGCTCGCAAGCCAGATGTGTCCCCTGATTGTACCTCGAAGGATCTGTGTGGAGGAGAGGGGCTGCCAAGGCTGAAGAGGTGTTTAGAAATAGTGACAAACGGGAGTTCTGTGTGTGTGTTTACGTGTGTGCGTGTGCACATACTCCCTGACTTACAAGCCAGCTTTGCCACTTCATTTTAGAAGACGTGGCCAAGAATTAAACATTTCTTCCATAAATACTAACTGCTTGCTCAAGAAAACACACTGAAAAAACCAGGCCCTAAAAAAATATCACAGTTTTGATATGAGGAAGCCAATACGTGAACTGGATCCGTGTATTGAAATACCACTCATGCACCGATCTGTCTGTCTGTCTAGTTCTATGAATGACGCAACCCTGGAAAGAAAGGCATGAATACATTCACATGGAATACCCTTGAGTTGGAGTAATGGTAAACGGTTTTCCTTCTCTTCATATAACTGTGTTTTACAAATACCATAACATGCATAGGTGCTGCCACTATAACCAGAAAACAACTATTTTAAGTGAAAACCCCTGGTGTCTGTGGAGGCCCAAGCCATGACGTCTAGACCCTCGGCTAGCCACTCCCCCTCAGCACGCCACCCAATACTACGTCCCTCCCCTCGGAGACAGTTCTCACCCCTTGGGCAGAACTGGGCATCCGAGATAGCATCTTCAGACAAAGCAGCAAACCCCCAGGGAAGGGCATTCCCGTGACCAATGAGGGCTGACTAAACAGAGCACACACTCACGGGAACCGGTGCCCTGCCTTGTCCTGCCTTATCCTGCAGGATGGGGCCCAGTGGATGGATGTCTGGATTTCCAGCCTCCCTTTCACGGCTCGGCCTGCCGACCCAGGCCAGGCAGGGCTGAGCCGAGCCCCCGCGGCGGGGCACGGCGCGGTGGGTGGGGAGTGGACTCTCGCCGGCTGGTGCTTACCTGGCGTGGCGGGGCAGGTGGGGAGTGGACTCTCGCCGGCTGGTGCTTACCTGGCACGGCGGGCCCGGTGGGGAGTGGACTCACACCAGCCAGTGCTTACCTGGCGCGGCGGGGCGGGTGGGGAGTGGACTCTCGCCGGCCGGTGCTCACCTGTTGCCGGCCCCAGGGCCGAGGCGCTGGCAGGCCACCGAGGTGGTGGCGTGCTTCCCGCCGTTGCCCATCTCCTGCTGCACAGCCCACTGCCGCGGCTCGCGGGGCCGCACGCCCAGGATGTTGATCCCCTTCTTTACCTTGGCTCTGCATGTGGAGACAAGCAAGAGAGAACCCTGCGTTAGACTCTGCCTCGGCTGAGGGGCCGGGGGCGCTGCCTGGAGCATTCTGGTACACGGGGTACCCTGCTGGGGGCTGGTGGAAGACGATGCAGGCCCACGGATCATGGAACATTCTGTCTAGTTGTAGAACGTGGCATCACGGAACTTTCCAGTTCAAGGGTGAGGGAAGGGCCTCGCTACCCCCACCCCCATACCAATGGGGGCCCAGGGAAGGGTGAGCAGCATTGCTTGGGATTCCAGCCATCCCAATGCCTCAACTCACCACCAACAAAAAATCCAGAAAAACTAGCCTGCAGCGCTCCTTGAGGGAACCCAGCACTTCCACCAAGGATAATGATAATAATACTCTCAGGGTGAAAGTCAGAAAATATACTGGTGCGACACTGTAAGTTGGGTATGAGATGTATTCAGAGTTGGGCCTTCACATGGCCTGCTTCCTCTGGTGTGAGTTCCATCAGGCCGCACGCCCCGCGGAGCCTGAGCGAGGAAGCACAGGGCTCCAGGAGCGCAGGGCGCTCGTTTATGTCCCCCTCACCCCAGCAGACCTGACGTGATCTCTATACTACTGCTGCCTTTTCACAAAGGCATTCAGTTTTGCAAATATACAAGGCTGTATCTTGTGAAAGCAGTTGCTTAACACACACACACACACACACACACACACACACACACACACACACGTTTGCTAACTTGATAGGTAACCAGACTCCTCTTTGGTCGAGAGCCCTTGGTGCAAAAGAATGCATTAATAATAAACACCAGAAAGGGCAAAAGAGCCCATCCATCAAGCTCCTAATGGCTCCGTAAGTAACTCGGAGCAGGCGCCCGCTGCCTTCGTGGGGTGCGTGGCCGGGCGCGGAGGCACGGGGCAGGGAGAGGATGGCTGCCGTGCAGCTGGCCCATGAATATTTGATGTGTCCGGCTGCTAACCTGCCCCTGGAGGAGCCCTGCGTCTCTGCCAGCGCTGCTCTCCTCAGCAAGGCTGGGAAAGTCCTTCTTAATAACCTTTACTTAGGAGGGAGAAGGAAGCGTGCACTTCTGGGCAGGCTAGGGCTCCATCCAGCCATGTTTGTGCCCCAGAAATCCTTCTCCTTGTCACGCTCAGCATTTTGGGGTGCACAGTTGGTTTCTGAGTCTCTCCCACCCCTCCTGGTACTCCGTTCTCCCAGCGTGGTGGGAAGCCAGGCGAGGCCTTGTGAGGATGTGCTTTGGGGACCGCCCACCTGGGTTCAAGTCCTAGCGCGGCCAGCTTCCAGGTCCTTTCTACCCTGCCTGTCCACTCAAGGCTCTGCTGGCCTGCTTTCCCACAGCGTTGCTCCCCCCCGGCTCGGAGGCAGGGTCCTGCGTCTGACTTCTGCTCTGCCTCTTCCTCTCGCCGGAACCCTCTTCCCTGACCGCTTCCATCTCCCGACATCAGTCCATCTGATGCCTCATCGCCCTCTCTGTGTGGATCTTCCTTATCGAGGGCCACACAGTGCGGGCTTCCTTGACTTCTCCGTCTCAGAATCCCACTTGACGTTTATCCGCAGTGTCACAATTCCTGTCGCAGAGCTGATGAGAAGCTGCTGATCTGCCCCCTCCCCCCCCCCACGGGAACAGAGATGGCATCAGAGGAAAGCGATCAGCTCAGTGCTGGCCTCCCCCTTCGATTCTGATGTGAAACCTCTCCCACAGGAAGTGGTGCGTGAAAGCTGGCACCGCTGCAAGGCGGTGGATGTCAGGAGGATGCAAGTCAGGAGGATGGAGCCCCACGCGTGGAGCCGGCGCCCGTGTAGCTCAGGCCCCAGAGAGCCACTTCCGCCTCGGGAGGACTGAGGGAGACGCGCCGTCTATCAGCGGGAGACGCCTCACCACGCAGCCTCAGACGCAGCCCTGCCTCCCCCTTGCGGGGCAGGGAGGGTAAGTCTGCCCCTCAGCGCCACACTTTCACGTACTCTATCATCGCAGTGCCTGTCCACGCTCTAGCGGCTCGCTGTAGCATCTCCAAGGCCTAGCTCGGGCCTGGCACACCGCAGAGGCTCAGGAAATATCGATGGGCTGATCTCAGTCAGCATTGACGCGTGGGTGGTTCTCCATTGACTGACTTTAGACGCAGTCCCTGAGGCTCAGAGGTGAGAGCCAAGACCTTGCTGCAGAGAACACACCCCGGGTGGACTTCTGGAAGGTGGAGCCAAAGCCTGCCAACCGGACCGCGAGATCTCTCAGGGGGCCGTCTGGACCTCGAGATCTCTCAGGGGGCCGTCCGGACCTCGAGATCTCCCAGGGGGCCAACCGGACCGCGAGATCTCCCAGGGGGCCAACCGGACCGCGAGATCTCCCAGGGGGCCGTCCAGACCTGGAGATCTCCCAGGGGGCCGAGGTGCTGTACAGACAAGTGCAGGCCTTTCCAGGGCAGGCGAAGCTGCCCCTGGCGAAGCTCCCACTCCACGTTCCGGGGCCCAGGTGCACCCGTGGGAAACTTTGTTTACATATACAGTTACATGAACAAATGCATTTAAATAGAAATTTATATATATAAATGTGTATGTGTGTTTATACGTATCTCTATAAACAACTAGATGAACCCAAAGGCAAGCAAACAACTACAGAAACTCAACAAGAATTGCAAGATGAAAAGCTAAATGAATACCAAGAAAAGACAAACAGCTGCACCAGCTCAAAGAGAATCCAGCTAAAGAGTTAAATGAGATCAATGAAGACACATATGAACAGTAAATGAATAAAGAAGTCAAGGTATGATGGGAGATCTCGGCAAAGAGACAGAAAGCCTCAGAGAATCCCGGCAACAACAGAAACCGAAGGAGTAGAGATGGAAAATAAAGTGGTAAACCTCTCCAGCCAAGTGGACGGAATGGAACACAGAGTTTCAGAACTTAAATATGTAGATGACAAAGTAGGACGAGCAGAAGAAAATACGAAAAAGGAAAAGAATTATGGAAGAATTTGCCAGAAGGCCAGGATCCCATTAAAAGACAACTCACAAATGATGGGCGCAGATGAGGGCAGAAGGTGATATCTAAGGGTGTGGAAAACACATTCTTGAAGAAGAAAGGCTTTCAGAATACCTGAAGAACCAGATTAGAAAAAAACTTCACGGCATATCATAATGAAAGCAGTAAGTACGGAGAACTTGTTACTTTTAATGGAGAACCCATCAGAATAACAGCAGATTTTAAAGGGACACCTGAGAAGCCAGGAAGGCTTAGGATGATGTACTTCAAACACCAAGAAGTTAACCACCAACCCAGAAAACATGCTAAGCAGGAGGCAACCATTCGTAACAGAAAAGGCAAATAAAAATATTCCAATGCAAACAAAACTAAAGCAGTTCACCACCACTAAAAATAGCACCAGGGAAGACACAGAAAGGATGCAGAAGAGGAAGATCAGCACATAAAAGAAGTGGAGAAAATCTACCCAAACAGATGAGTGGAGACACACAGGACACACGAAAGGATCTGACACCAGGCAGGAAACAAGGTGTCAGGCACAGCTACCAGGCCTTCACTTTTATTACTCACTGGAAATGGACTCAAAAGCAACAGAACTCGTAGGACCCCCCGAGTGGGATCAAAAGGCAAAATCTGACCATCTGTTGTCTACAAGAAACACATCTGTTTGACAAACACAGGTATTTGCTTGGAGTGAGAGATGGGAGAAAAGTCTTGTGTGTGAAGGGTGGCCTGGGAGGGAGCCAGCAGGCTTCAAGTCTAAATTAGTCAGAAGAGACAGGCTCAGCCCACGCTCAGACAGGGACGGAATTCCGTCGAGGAAACGAGATGCTCTTGGAAGGTACTTAGCGCAATCAGGAGTGCTCATGAGCATCAATGTTAAGTGACCCTGTGGCGGCGGCCTTGATTTGCTTTGAACCATGCAGCCCTGGAATCTATTATGAACCTCTCCGAGCCCGGGCTTCAGGGTTGCCTACGGCAGCATTCAGCCGCCTTCTTCCCCGTTAGGGAACCTGCACTTTCTTACTGTGTACAGGAAGGAGGCTTGCTCCCGTGTGTACCGGGCAGGCTGCTGTGTCTCTGACTCCGCCCCACCCCGTCCTTGTCCAGCCTGGAAAGGCCGAGAGTCTCAAAGCATGAGTGGCGAAGTTCGCGTGGGTCCCCGGTACCACGTCCCCTCCCTGCGGGAGGCTGCGTGGGCTGGGGGTGGGCTGCCCTGCCCCGCGTCTGGTGCATGGCCGGCCGGCCGGGAGCGGGAAGGGGCTGGCGGTGTCCAGGCTGCTCCCCGTGGAGGGAGGCGCGCCAGGAAGTTGTTTGTTCATTTAAAGGGAATGTCCTCGCCGTCCCCAGACCGCGCTCTGGTGAAAGAAATCTCTCCAGGGCTGCATCTCATTTTACACCTGTCATCTCTCTTACTTAGCTCTGCCTTCTTGTCCGGGAACAAAATCTCCCGGAGTAATTGGCGATGTCAGGGCAGCTCAGACAGGGCGAGGCTGCTCTCCCTCTTCCCTCTGACCGCGTGAGGAAGCAGAGCCCTGGCCGAGGCAGCCCACGGCAAATCCCGCCTGCCGCTGTGGCGGACCCGAGCCCCTGCAGGGAGTGTCTGCTCCTCCTCTCTCCCCTCCCCCGTTCTCTCCCTCCCCCTCTTTCTCCCTCCCTCTCTCCTTCTCCTTCTCCCCCTCCCTCTCTTCTCTCTCCCTCCCTTCCTCTCTCATTCCCTCTCTCCTCTCTCTCCCTCCCCTCTCTCCCCCTCCCTCTCCGGGAAGGAGAGGCAGGAGCTGTGTCTGTGTCTGCTCGTGGCCTCTTACCACCATACCGCACGTCAGCCCCACGGCACGTGTGTCCCACTAGAAGGCCAGACCCCACGATGGGGACCTGGCTGTGCCCTGGCCCTACGTCCTGCTATATCCAAGTTCGTCTTGCTCCATGGACTCAGACCAAGAGCAAAGAAAAGCGCATTTAAAGAACGAAGGCAGGAAAATCCCAAGCTGCATCTGAGCTGCCCCGAGGTGGT